ATTTCACTCAGTAAAAGCCAGAGTCCTTATAATTGCCTACAGGTTCTTACATGATGTGCTCGTTCTCCCATTCGACCTTTCTAACCTCATTTCCTGTTACTCTGCCACTTGCTTTTTCTTCTCTAGCCTTATTGGCCTTCTAGCTTTTACTTGAGCAGGCACGATGTATTGCTGCCTGATTGCCTTTGCCTTAGCTATTTCCTTTACTTGGAAAGATCTCCAGCTGTCACTATAGCTACCCTCTTTCAAGGACTCTCTTCAGTGAGGCCTTCCTTGATTATTTAAAATTGCACCTGCACTGCTCCCCTGTCACTCATTTTCCTGCTGGCATTTCTGATCTCCTTACCCTGCTCTATTTTCCCAAAACACTTATCAATTTAATTATTATGTTTCATGGTCTGTCTCTTCACACAGAATGTAAATTTCACAGGGCAGGGATAAAACATTGTCTGGCANTTAAATTTGCTCAATAAAAGTTTATCCACATGAATATCTCAGATAGCTTTTACTAATTAATGCAGTAACTATTGCATCAATTCATTATCTAATAGAGCCAAAAGAAAAAAAAACTGAAAGAAAAACTTTATGGACGAAAGTTATATACATCTATAAAACATTGGACAAGGTACAAGCTCCTTTTGTCCAGATTCTGTAAAATTAAGGAATTGGCAGTGGTTTACAGATGCTTCTTTGGCTCTAATTGAATCACGTAGGGCTTTTGTTGAAAATAGTGATTCCTGTACTCCATCCCAGTCCTACTGAATCAAAATCTGAATACTTAGAATATTTGTTTTAACAGGTGTCCCAGGTAATTCTGATATACAACCAAGCTTGAGAACAACTCTGATAGATAATCTCTAAGTTTTCTTTAAGCTCCCAAATACTGCAGTTTGGCCTTCTGCAAATGAAATATTGTCCTCTTTCTGAGTTGGGAAGATGAGTGTTTTCGTTATACCAAACGTCCAGTGTTTATGTTCATAGAAATAGTTGATTTAAAGTTCACTTTAATTTAAAGTTGATATTATTAAGTTGGCATTCTAAATATAGAATAAATACGGCCAGGAGTTGTAGAGCTTGATGGGATCTCAGGAAACATCCAGTTTGTTTCCCTCATTTTGCAGAGAATAAGATGTGACTGAGGCCAGTAAGAAGGCAGTGTTACTAGAACCCGAGTTTCCTGACTTCAATGTTCTTCCTCCTATACTATTAAAAATTTTATATTCAATATGTATCTTAACTGCCTACCTGACTTTCTTAGGCAGAAATTGGTGTAGGCAAGGATTTTACATTTTGGTACTAATTTCTGCTTTGACAGATTATTTGGAAGCTTGGAAGTGAAATTCTATTTTATCATCCCAAGAGCAACGTGGAGACTTTCAATACCTTTGCTGACCGGATGAAAAATATTGGCGTCATGAATTACTTAAAGGTGAGAATGTAGGTTTTGTGAGTTTACATTCGCAGTATTCATTTTTTTAAAAATTGCTTGTGTCTGATAAAGTAGATAATAATGTAAAAAGTATATAAAAAGGATAAGACATCTGGATAAATAAGTTAAACTAAAAGTTGTGTTGTGAGAACCATTGTACTTGGTTTCCAGTGTGTTCTCTGACCGAAGATGCCTTCTCTTTGTTGTAGATCTCTGGCTGCCAAAACCAGTCCTTCAGAGCTTGTA